CCCGCCCCACGCCCGCTGCAGAAAGCCTGCTGGAATTCAAAATGGCTGGCTCGGGTTGCACCGTGCGTGGGCAACCGTCGTTCCCTCCACACGTGCGCCTCCTTCCAGCTGGAACGTTTCTATTTCTCCGCGTTGGTATCTCGCCTCCTTTGCTCGACTTGAGAATTCGCCTCTCTTCGTAAAAATTTCGTAATCTTGTCTCCACTTCTTTTTATTTATTTATTTATTTATTTCTCGTTTAAAGAAGAAAGAGGAAAATTTGGAAATGTTGAAAATCTTGTCCATTTACTTTTTCTATCGATTTGAATTCGCGAATTTTGGTAAATTTTACTTCTTTTTTTTTAAATTTTGAAAATCTTGATTTTGATTAATTTCCTTCTTTTTTTTCTAAATCTTAAAAATCTTGTCCATTTACTTTTTCTATCGATTTGAATTCGTGAAATTTTTTTCTTTTTTTTTAAATTTTTAAAATCTTGGCCATTTGTTTCTTGTATCGAATTTTTTTCCTTTTTTTAAATTTTAAAAATCTTGATTTTGAATTCGTGAATAATTTGCTTCTTTTTTTTTAAATTTTGAAAATCTTGATTTTAAATTCATGATTAATTTGCTTCTTTCTTTTTAAATTTTGAAAATCTTGTCCATTTACTTTTTCTATCGATTTGAATTCGCGAATTTTGATAAATTTCTTTCTTTTTTTTTAAATTTTGAAAATCTTGATTTTGATTAATTTTCTTTTTTTTTTTTCTAAATCTTAAAAATCTTGTCCTCTTTGCATCGATTTAAATTCCAGTTTGAAATTTAAGAAAAATTTCGAACCCTTTCAATTCAACCATTCTTAATTTTATCGAATTCTCAACAAAACTCACTTTTTCCAAGACTTTTCGGCAAAAGAGTAAGAACAAAAGATACCTATTTTAATTTTCACATATAATAATTATTATTATTTATAACTATAAAAATAATACTAAAATTTATCACGTACACAATTAATCCATTAACAATTACAGATATATAAATTCCAAAATTCCAAAAATTATTAAATCATTCTACACAAATCTGATCAATTATTCGACAGTTAAAAATAAACATAACATAAATAATTTTTCATACCACAACGAGCACAAATATGTTTCAACAAAAATCACTAAATCGTACCCGAAAACCCAATTAATTAATTAAACCAACAACAAAAATACAATTAAACCCAATATGAATTACACATCTATTGAACATATCGATCCTTCCTAAATGATTTTAAAATCCACGAAAAAAAAACCATCTACAACATCGAATTTTTACGTAATTCGTACAACATTACGACAATTTCGACAATTC